GGTCGGTAGAGGTCGGTAGAGGTCGGTGGGAAGGGGTCGGTAGAGGTCGGTGGGAAGGGGTCGGTAGAGGTCGGTAGAGGTCGGTGGGAACGGGTCGGTAGAGGTCGGTAGAGGTCGGTAGAGGTCGGTGGGAAGGGGTCGGTAGAGGTCGGTAGAGGTCGGTGGGAACGGGTCGGTAGAGGTCGGTAGAGGTCGGTGGGAAGGGATCAGATAGGCGATCGGACTGGTAACGGTGGTCAGTGGCAATGGTAAATGGCAAGTGGCAAGTGGTTAACCCTCCACACCCCTGGCCCCTTGCGGTCTTCTTCTTGCAATGGATGACACACAGGGCCGAACCAGCCTTGCATGTACCACCTCAGAACCCGGAATTTGGACGTCTTGACGCAAGATTTTTTGCGAACTTGACCCCTCCAAGCCCCAACTTTGACCCCTCAGGCCCCGGAATTTGGACGCCTTGACGCAAGATTTTTGGCGAACTTGACCCCGACAAACCCCAACTTCGAGCCCTCCGGACGGAGGTCCATGGGCTCCGGAGGGGGCGTCAAAACCCCGATTCGGCTCAAGTATTATGCATACCAGGGGCTTTTCAAGTATTTAGCTCCCTCCTAATCTCCCAAGATCGCAAGAAAGACATCCTTTACACTCCAAATGGGGGCTTCTATTTTTTTAAAGAGTGTATAGTATAAAATATTATATTTAACCAGGCTAACGCCTGGCAGCCGCCGACCCCCAGGAAAGTGGCTGGAAGAAACCCTGGCAAAAGACCTGAAAGGCATGAGTAAATCTTACAAAAACCTTTGCAAATTCTAGAAATCTAGCAAGGAACAAGGCCGCGAGCAGCCCGGGATTCGAGCCCGGGGACCGTGCTTATTGTTCCGCGCGGATGGAGAGTAAAACTGACAAAAACCTTAGAACATCCTAGAAATCCAGCGGAAAACGTTTGGAAATGGAGGAAAATGGGTTAGCATTTTTCTTTGCAAATCTGGGAACCCAAAAACAACACGGAGCCTTTACAAGTACCTAGAGAAACCAGAGGACATGCTGGAAAACACCCTCGCAAAAGGTCTGAAAGGAACGAGTAAATCTTACAAAAACCTTTGAAAATCCTAGAAATCCAGCGGAAAACGTTGCAAAATCTGAGAAAAATCAAGGGCACTGGCAGGGACCAGGCCGCGACCAGCCCGGGATTCGAGCCCGGTCCCTAAATGACAATCCTAGAAATCCAGCGGAAAACGATTGAAAATCGAGTAAAGTGGGTTAGCATTTTTTGTTGAAAATCAGGGAACCCAAAAAACAACATGGAGACTTTAGACAACCACAGAACTACCTAGAAGAACCACAGAAAATGCTGGAAAAACCCCTCGCAAAAGACCTGAAAGGAACGAGTAAATCTTACGAAAACCTTTGAAAATCCTAGAAATCCAACGGAAAACGTGACAAAATCTAGGAAAAATCAAGGGCATCATTGGCAGGGACCACGCCGCGACCAGCCCGGGATTCGAGCCCAGGACCATTTATGGACCGTGCTTATTTTCCTGCTCGGGTGGAGAGGGTGCCCCAAGATGTAAATCAATTGGGATGGAGAAATCTTGGACAACTCTTGGAGAAATCTTGGAGAAATCTTGCGTACTTTTCGTCACTGCAACAAGGCTCCGGAGGGTAGGGGAGGCAAGGCTAAGGCTAAGGTCTAAGGCTAAGGCTAAATCAACAGTCACGCCTCACCCCACGAGTGGGGTCGGCGGATAAGGTGTTCTCTCGCACTGTTGGAAACATCGTGCCGAACGACTTGGTGGCGCGACCTCGTGCCCCCTCGTGCCTTCGACTCGACAGGTGAGCTGGCGCTTCGATCGGCATCTCAAGGGCGAAGGTGTGGAGGTGCCCAACACCGACCGGACAGTTGGTGGACCGGAGCACCGTGTGTGGGGACGGTCGGATGTCCATCGGGCCACGTGGGGTTCGCGGTGGGCCAAGTGGTGGGGACATACGTTTTGTTTCAGGCGCACAAGCGGCTTCGCATGCGGCTTCGCATGCGGCTTCGCTGCGGGGTTCATGGTGAAGGAAAGGGTTTTGCCATGATTGGCCGATGGTTCACTGGCAAGTTGAGGGAGGGAGCAAGTGGCTGGAACCATGAAAGACCTATCGCCGATAGGACGAAACCAGACAAACGAGTGCAGAGGGCATTTTCTGAGGTGGACGAAACCAGTTGAAGGACCCTTTCACTGAAGCAGTTTTACTGAGTCTTTGGGCCCAAGCTGGAAGTCTTCATTCAGTTTTTGTGTTCGAACTCTTGAGAGCTCTTGAACATGGTTTCTGCTGGCAACAACCACACAATCCTACTCCGAAGTGATGGCAGAGCTGTCGCGTGCGGCAGAAATTATGATGGACAGTGCAACATTCCACCTTTGGATCAAGGAATATCGTACACCCAGGTTTCCGCAGGAGCGTTTTGTACACTGCTTCTTCGAAGTGATGGCAGCGCTGTGGCTTGCGGAAGCAATAGCTATGGAACATGCGACATTCCACCTTTGGATGAGGGACTGTCATACACCCAGGTTTCTGCAGGTTGGCATCACACAGTGTTTCTCCGAAGTGATGGCAGCGCTGTTGCATGCGGAATGAATGATCGCGGACAATGCCGCATTCCTCCTTTGGAACACGGAATTTCTTACACCCAAGTTTCTGCAGGCATGTATCACACAGTGTGTCTCCGAAGTGATGGCAGCGCTGTTGCATTCGGAAGTAATGATTGGGGACAATGCCACATTCCTCCTTTGGATGACGGAATGTTTTTCACCCAGGTTTCTGCAGGTGGGCGTCACACAGTGTTTCTCCGAAGTGATGGCGGTGCTGTTGCATGCGGAGTGGCCTGTGGAATTAATGCTCCTGGACAACGCCGCCTTCCTCCTTTAAAAGGAAGGACTTTCACCCAGGTTTCTGCATGCTGGGGTCATACAGTGTTTCTCCGAAGTGATGGCAGTGCAGTTGCCTGCGGACTCAATGGTGCACGACAATGCAATATTCCACCTTTGGATCAGGGACTTTTCTACACCCAGGTGGCTGCAGGATGGTGTCATACAGTGCTTCTGAGAAGTGATGGCTGTGCTGTTGCTTGTGGAGACCATTCGTTTTTTAAATGCTCCATTCCATCTTTGAAGTCCTGGCATGAGCTCTTTACTTTTGCCAAAGCCAGCTGTCGCTACATCTCCACTTGTCAACCACGTGCTACTGCTGTCAACCGCATCTTGCAACTGGGCGTTGCTGTCCAAGATGATACAGCCATGCTGACATGCTGGGATTTAGCCGGACATGAGGTGATTCGCTCCAAAGTGTCAGGGTCTGACCTGGCCCTGGAGATTCACAAGCGCATGGCACGTGAGTTGAAGGTTAGCCTCCAACGTCTTCGAGTGGTCTTGCCTGATGGACAGCTGTTGGCCTCAATCTGTCGGGCGAATCCATTGGTCACGATTGCTGAGATCAGCGAAGCAAGCCCAGAATAGTGCCCAAGGGTTTGGACATTTGGCAAGCTAGCGTTTCTGGGACTAAACGGACGGGTCGAACAGTCGAACCCCCCCAGCGAACCGGCACAGCCGGGCCGATCGGCGCACGCGCACGCCAGCGCGCCAGCGCGTTGCGAGGGGATGAAGAGATCAGTCTGGAGAGTCAGGAGATCGCAACCAGGACTCGCAGCCAAAAAGAGAGTGTTCAGTGTTCAGGTTGTTCAACAAGTGATGGTATAGCTGCTTGCTGATCCTCCAAATAGCTGCTGATGTAGGTATTTTCGGATTGAAGATATACGAGGGACAGGACACCTGCTGTGGTTTGTGCTAGGCCGCTAGGCACGAGGGGAAATTGTCTATGGAGTAGCTTGGGCACCCACAGCGCTACACCATGCAGGGGGACGAGCAAAAGACATGTGCTATCGGATGCAAGAATTCCGAGGACTGGCATGGTAAAAGCACAACTTGAGCAAACTTGGATCATGAGTCGTCGTGCCGGTCTGACTGCTTGTCATCACATGTCATCACTGCTAGGCTTGGAGATGTAGAACCGCTCTATGGAGAGTCAACAATTTTGTGGTCCAGGTCCGATGCTGTGACTGGGAGCTGCAACATCGCCCGCCCTCTGAACGCACAATGCGAGCCGCGAGCCTTGAGCCTTGCGTTGCGAGCCTTGCGCAGGTCCTCAGGCACGGTCAAGCAGTGCGCCGAGTGGCTGAAGAGGCCCAGCTGAGTTGGTGTTCAGTGGACTAGTGCATCGCTACTAATTAGGAACAAGGGCATCGGCAGTACTACAAGTAGCTAGAAGCTACTAGGAACAAGGGCATCGCTACTAGTTACAAGTGAGTGGGGTATCAGTACAGATTTCTTGTGGTGAGACTTGTCGGATGGCTGTGGTGAGACTTGCCGGATGACTGGACTGAACGCTTGAACATCCATGAGCTGGTGTCTTTTCTCATTTAAGGGGGGTTCGATACATGTGGGGTATATCCAAATTCTTGATCTGCACCCATTTAATGATTTTTAATTTGTTTATATGCCTTTTGGGTTGTGGTCATCTCTCTCAAGCAAATATGTTGTCAGCCTGGTTGTGAGACATACCAGTTCATTCTTCACAAAGAGCTCAGGAAACGAATAGACAGACATCCTTGGTGATGGTTTGGTTGTTGTTGAGCGTTGAGCCGATGACACGGCGGATTCGCCTAGCAATTACACCACAGATCCGTTCTTGTTTCAAGAGTCCGGACACAAGCTGGGCCTGGCGGAAGTTCCAGTCATGGGTATTCCAACCAACATAACAAACATATGCAAAAATAAACATCCAAATCAAGAACATTTGGTGGTGTGTTTGTGCCTGTTTGTGCTGTTTTGGACAGATCATCACCTTTTGGACAGTTTTGGAAAAGGATGGATCTGCCAGTTGTGTGCTCTCCGCAATTCAATGTCTCCTGGCGGGAAGACCTGCTGTGCATCAGAAAGAAAGCAACAAGAAATAAGAAAGTAAGTAGGTAAGTATAAGAAAGTAAGTAGGCCTAGTAAGTATATAAAAAAGTAGGAAAGTAAGAACTGCAAGAAAGTAAGCATAAGAACAAGATGATTCAGCATAAAATTGGCATCGAATTGGCCACGCACACTAGTGAGCACCCTCGATCCAACCCCAGCCATTTTACACCTACCGCACGACCCCCGTACCATGTAGACTCTTAATAAATACTCCTTTTGAAGAGGATCTTCATAATTCAATTTGGGGGGGGTTGATATGGTCCTGACCATAGTCTACTTTACTCGGAAAGGATTCTCCCAAAACGATGCGGGTCGACGGACCGATCGAGACCGCGGAGCTCCAGACCGATCGAGACCGCATTGCGGTGACCGCAGGAGCTGGTGGTGCTGGGAGACGCGGCTCTTCCATGCGACGACCGATGGCCGTAACTCGGTCGCACAGGGGAAAACACGGTGGAGGAGCCACCAGAGGAGACGGGGTTCACCAGGTGGGTAGGCTGTTTTCTTTTTTGCGATGTGGTTGTGGAAGACATGGGGAAATTGATGAATGTGTTCCAATAATGGAATCATTTGTCAGACTCCTTTTCAATACCTGTCAACAGACATTTGTCAACTATATGCAATCAGTTCGATTGATGTTCTGCATCTTTCCCTGCAACAGCAAGTGAGTAGAGCCTTGTTCAGTCACGAAAGCTAGCCTTAGCTAGCTGGAGTTGCTCTTGCTTTAGCAAGTTAAGTGACGGGGTGGACGCACCTCAGAAACCTCAAATAATTGATTAAATCAATCTTATGGACCCCCCCCCCCCCGCGGTTCGACTCCCCCCTGCGCGCGGTGAGCGGGACCACCAAGCAGCTGCAGCACACCAAGCATCTGCAGCGCCCAGCGCAGCACCAGCAGCAGCAGCAGCAGACCACCCAGCGGCGGCCGCAGCAGCAGCAGCAGCATACCCAACGCCGCGGCAGCAGCAGCCGCAGCAGACCACCCAGCGCAGCAGCAGCAGCAGACGACCCGGCGCCTGCAGAGCACCCAGCGCAGCAGCGCCCAGCGCAGCAGCACCAGCAGCAGCAGCACCAGCAGCAGACCACCGGAAGCCCGGCTAGCTTTCGTTCACCCCCTTTGGCCTCAAGTTTACATTGCCAGAAAACTGAGGGAGTCTCCAATCACCCATGCCGGTTCGTTTTTATGCTCTCTGTCAAGTTCTGGAAAAGAATTTCAAAAGGAGTGCCGGTGAGATGTCCGCCAAATGTAAGAATACCAGGACCTTCACAGCGACCTTCTTTGGTATCTCCCAAGTGAGCTATGCTGGCTAGGCCTAGTTGTGACCTCGGGATGCGTCTCTTTGAAGATCCTGGTAGGTGAGACGAAACAACTTGGTGACCTCTTGATCTGGGCGCTGGGTCCGACGTCCGACGTCCCCTTTTTCGAGTCGTCGCCGACGTCCCGGTCCCCATTCACTCGCACGGACGAGCTGTTGAGTGACCTCCAGTCGGCAGCGGCCCGTCGGTTCGGTGTTTCAAGGTATTTGGAGGTGCACTTGGATGAATGTGGCGAGGTGCGGCTGCGGGATATGGAAGGACCAACGATCAGCCGATGCTGATTTGTTTCGGCGCGGTCTTCATTTCGGGACCCCCAACAAAAGAAGGGACCGAAGACGTCGGGACCGAGAACGTCCAGTCTTTTTGGTCGTGTTCGCCGCGGAAGACGGGTGATGGTGGGTTCAACTGGTTCAACTCCAAGGAATTTGGTCTCTAGCCTTTCTCAGACTTACAAATGGACTCTTCACGAGAAAAACAAAGGCGTCTTTGTTTCCGGGAGCACACGGGAGCCATGTCCAAGCATGTCCCACTCCGTCGGTTTTGTCCATCGTCGGCGCCCAAGACGGCGTCATGATCGCTTCCCGGCAAGCCCCTGGAATTGCTTGTTTGAGAGTGGTCCTCAGTGATCAGGTATAGCTGGTGGGCCCGAGAAGTACCGCGGTGTTGAGTATGGTGTTCTCCACATGTTTCGTCGAAAGATGTCGACATGCTTTCGAAACTACACAGGCAACAGGTGCAGTGGGCCAAGACAAAAGACATCGGGACCAAGTTGTTGGTCATCATGGTCTTCAGTATTTGTTCTCACGTGTACAAATTCCGTCCTTTTGAGGCCTGATGGAAATCAGGCGCATCCGAAGTATCTCGGCTGATACTTCCGCTGATTTGCATCAATCCTCCAAACCTTTTCAGACCACTTACTTCACTTGGGCCTGTCCCACTGCCTGTAACAGTCGGTAAACATATTATCACACGATCTGATTTTTGAGAAAGTCCTGCAACCAGGCCCCATCATCCACTGGGCCCTGGGAGGTCAAGAATATACCCCAAACCCAAATAACCCTTTCGAACCGGTTCTCCCCGCTGCCTTCCTCACCTTCTCTCCACCCCTCGCCCACCGCCTTCCCCCTCGCCACCGCCACATCGTCCCGAAAGCTCGGCGCCCAGTCGAGACCGTGCGGTCCGCGGCGATCGAAGTCGCGTGGTCTCGGGGTGATCGGCAGGGCATCGGCGACATGATCAACGACTTCGGCTTTGGCGTCACGGCGTCGGTCCCCGAGGACGGGGGGGAAGGAGAAGTGCCGGTGGAGAGTAGCAGTGTGGAACCACCCGACAGTTGCGGGGCAAGCATGACACGAGCTGGTTGGGGCTGGAAGATACTACCCCAGACAGTCGTTGGTATTTTATAATAGCCTCCATTGACCCCTGTTCAACCTGTTTGGATGCAATGTCTGGATGCGTCCCAGGCTTCCATCGAGTTTGGGGGTTTGGGTGATGGAGCTGCGGTGAGTGGAGCTGCAGTGAGGGTTGATGGAGGTTTTTGGGGTTTCCTCATTGAGCCCGGCTCATCAGAGCTTTGAACGATTCATCAGATGGGCTCTGGAGGAGGGTACATGGTACTGTAGCAAGCCCGAGAGAGAATCAACATGAATCAACATAAAAGGTGCGCTGTTTCTTGGGTTCGGACCCAAGAAACAGCAGGAGCACCTGGCCACCTTTTTTGACCCGAAAGGTATATTCTTGCACAGCAGGAGCAACTGGGCAAGGTATCACAGTGCTTCTCCAAAGTCAATGCGCATGTGATAGCAGTAGATGTGGTAGCAGCGGATGCAGTAGAGAGACTATAGAGATGGCCGATGCCACAATTTGGATGAGGTGTTGATGACTAGAGTGACTAGAGTTGGATGCAGTGATATCCAAAAGCATCTGGCTGAAACAGACATCGAGCATCAAGCCGAGCCCCACGAACCTGGCTCATGATCGTGAGATCCAAATCGACACCACGTGTCAAGTTGTTTCAGGACAGAGTCCACTGGATTCTTGAGACCTTTGAATCAGCATCACCATATGATGCTATAGTAAGATGCTGACTTTGCATCTAAAAGGCTCAGAGTCAATTGGAAGATGCTTGAACATTGGAGCAACACTTCAAGATCTTCAAGGAGCCTCCCAGAATCGGACGAGACGGACGAGTCCCTCACCTCACGTCGGACTGAGGAGTTCAGAATTTGGCCAAGGAAATACTTGGTTGGGCGTAGAGCTTAGAACCAAAGCATGATTGTACTCTAAGCTTTTCATGGTCAGGGCCATCCAGCAAAAGCATCATGGACAGGTGATGGCATCAGGTTTTCGCCGAGGACATGAAACCTAAGTGACATGACAGTGAGGGTTGTTTTGCATGGAAACATCTTTCAGGATGACTGCCATTCTAAATTCAATTCCACGATTCCTTCCATCTGCACTGAGTACTTGGATTTTTGTTTTCGGGCGAAGACGATGTTCGTTCGTTCAGGAGATTGATGAACTTGGATCTGTGGCTGATGAGGTGGGTGGAGGAAGGGCATAGAGTCCGGATGGAGTGGAGTCTTCTGGCCTTAACTAGTCAACATCCTACCACACATGGCTGTGCGTCATAGCATCAGGAGACCTTGGTTGATCTACCCAGGTGTTGGTCAAGCTACATGGTGGACATTGGGGGACCGGGTCTTAGGTTTTGAATAGGTTTGACATGTTTTGACCCATCCCCATGAGTAGTGCCATGTTTCTGGATTGCGTGTACACCAGGGATCTCGACGAACACGAACCGCTGTATCAATCTGTGCGTGACGAACACGAATTGTCAACCATCACTTCGTGACGGCAGGTTTCCCCCCGCGGTGTTCCGCCGACATGGCTCGGAGCGGTTGGATGGCCGAGCTCGAAGCGTTCAGCACCTGTGAAGCTCGCTGAACTCGGTGCGCGCGGTGCACGCCCCGTGCGTCGCATCTCCGTTCGAAGGCACACCACTTTGGCACCCTGGGGTCTCTTTTGTTCAACTCATGCTGAGCGTTTTTTGAGGATCAACCATCCAATTTGTCCCCAGAACTGACTTTTTTGACTTACCGTCCCAGATCACTCTATCCACTTCTGTTTAGAAGTATTTCATGGATCCAACTTGGACTTCCAGGGACATCTACATACAGTATTTCTTTGTTGCATGCATAATTACACGTAATGTAGATGGATATGGATCGCATCACCGTGTTTTCTTATAGATTCATCCACTCTCTCCCACCGTTCTCCCCACCGAGCTCGGCCGTCGTCGGTAGGTGCCGCGCAGTTGGGTGGTGGACTTCACCCAGTCGATGGCTGGGGATCCAGCGGTGGTCTTCGGGATGCAGTTTTTTGGGGGTGAAGAATGCAGTTTTTTTTGGTGGGATGGGGTGCAGTTCGTTGCTTTGGATGGCTTGAGTTTGTGCAATGACTAGTAATTACAGTACTGTTTTTCATTGAACGAGTCGTTTTGGCTGTTGGATTAGGGTTCGGTTGGGTGGGGGGTTGGTTTCTGTGGGTTTGGCTTGATGGCTTGATACTTCTTGACAGCCATCCAGATGCTTAGTTTTGTTCCAAGTCAGCGATCGGGTTCAGTAGACAGCGAGAGACCTGCAGCCTTCAACCTGCTTTTGACTCATCCAATTCGATCTGCAACCCTGCGCAGGATTCTGCAGGTCTACAGTTTGACCATTTCACAACAAGGAGACCAGACCTACTTGAAGGGGCTAGTCACGCATCCGACTCCTAAACCAAGTCCCCCGTTCCTCTTGAAAAGGTGCTTCTTGGTCCCTATAGGTCATGACAGTTCAACCTCTTCGTCGGACCACTCCGGTCCGTTGACCACTCCGTTGACCAACCAGGTCTGCCTCAGCGTCAACAACCGAGAGGCCGATGTGGGGACTCTTGCGGACTTTGCGGTTCGTTCCTTGTGTCCCCCACGCACGTCCATGCCGCTTCTCGCACAACCATGCCCAAGAGGGCCCTGAAAATCTTGACAGCTGGAAAGTGTTCCTCTTCAAACTAGCAGTGAACCTGGGCTCGATGTGAGTTTCAGAAGCAGACTGTAGCAGACGATGAGTTTTACAGACTGGCTAAGCAATCGAGCGCTGAGCGTCCGAAGATGAAGAGGATAGTCTACTGCTTTCGATGCAGAATGCTCGTTTGCTATCGGTTTTGAGGGGCTGATTCACGATGGTGCAGCTGTGGTGCGTGAGACCCCGGGTCTTCGACCAAGCGAAGTATACTGCTGCACAGCGTGGAATTACATCGGGCTCGAACAGTTGTAGTTTGGATTTGTTTGACTGACTCGATCAGCAAGATGGGACATTCAGGTAGACAGGCTGGGTATAGCCAATAGCCAAAGATGGATTCGATGACCTTCATGTGCCTGGTATATTCTTGTGTCACCTTCCAGTTCAGCAGGGCTGACATTTAAACCTATGGCCCTGCTTGGGGATGAGTCTTTGGCGTGCCGCAGCAGGGCCAAACGGCCGCCCTTCTCCGGCTTCTCTTCGACGCATCCGAACTCAGAGGACGAACTCGTTCGTTCGAACTCAGGTCTCTCTACCCTTCGAACGAACTCGGAAAGGCCACCCATTCGGCACATTCGCATGGACACGTGGTCCATCGCCGGAGGCTTCCCAGGGGAAGAACCTCTCTGCGGCCGCCTTGAGAGAGGCGGAGCGGGGTTCGGAGAAGTCGAAGGACCGACTTTGTGGAAACGCATGGGAACCACTAAGAATTTTGGATCCAAAGTGTCTTGCTGAGTCTTGCTGTTGGGCCTTTTTGATCAGATGTAGCACCAGTTACTGTAGATGCCATAGTTGTGTATATATTTCACTGCAGCCGTTTCTGCTTAGTTTTGGGTTTACTTGCTTGCTTCAAGCGTGAGCTAAAAGTGTGCCTATCACCTTTGGGACTGTGACTTGGGGTCACTACGTTTGTGAGCCTAAATTATCCGTTTACTTTTCACATGCCACAGCATGACAACTTCATGGTCGGACATCTGAACTGATCACCGCTGTATTCTCCCCGCGAGGGGCCCCATCTGGCCGAACCAACGCCGCAGGGTTGCCGCGTGGGGCTCTTGGTGAAGCCCAACGCCTTTGAGGCGCGACGAGCTGGACGCAGCGCCGGGTTTCAAGACGGCACGCCGCGGCTCAAGCAGCAAATCCATTGAATCATATTTGAATCATATTCCCTCAGTTTCATGCATATTGCCAAATTGCAATTTATTAATACCTGCCGGTGACCTGCCCTAAGAATCCTGGCCCTCAAAGGTGAAAGGGTTTTGAGGGTCCGGACCCCTGCTATAGAGGGTCCCTGCCATGGAGGGCCAAGGATTCTCATGGGTGGAAAGCCATAATGCATTTTGTTTGTCAAACGGCCTTGAGCATCTTGAGCATGCTTTTTGGTCATTGCGGCTTTGATTATCTGCAGTGACTTGTGTGAGAGTTGCTACATGTTGCTACTGTTGTTCACGCTTTTTGGTTTAACAACATGTTGAAACAATACGGTTTTGCTACGGGTAGGCCTGCCAATTTCTTTTGGATCATTACGTCTAAAAACAGCATTTGGACAACAAAATCAATGTTATTGGCAGTTATTTGCTTTTCCCCATAAGGACCAGAACATTTTGGGCATTTGAATTTGGCTTTCCAGGTACTATATCTTATGTTATTTACAATTAATTTACTAAGATTCTAATACGTCTCATGACGTCTCATTGCCAGACTTCTTTCAGTTCCTTTCCTTTCTCTCGGAAAGCTATATCCGCCTTGCTTCCTCGGTTTCGTCCAGATCTACATTGATGGCGTCCATCGAGACACGCTGACGGTGCGTCCTGAGGCCCTGCCTGGGGCCGACGGGGCGAGACAGGGCCGACGGGACGGGACCGCCTGATGGCTCAAAAGAAGCGAACATCTTGGGAGTCCCACCTCCCTTTTTTCTGGTCCTCAAAAATGTCCTGATTTGAAGAAGGCATCCCACAACACGAATGAGAATTGATCTTCTGGAGGCACGCAACAGTTCGTGGCGACCAAACGGGAGGGATCGATGACCCCACCAGTCGCGGCTGATCCTTGGTCACCAGGAAGTAACACCGTTGTTGCTCGCCCTGAACAGGGATGCTTGCTGCTAAAAAGACACATGGAAAGCACGCACCTATGTGGGTGCCGAGACAGTCAGAATGAGCTAGAATGAGCTAGAATGAGATCTCTAGATGAAACACTAACATCTTTCTATTATATTGTAGGTGTCCCAGTTACTGTCCCAATTCCAGGTGCATATCTCCATCAGGGCTCCTGCATGTCGGCCAGGACTGCGTCCCAGTCAACAGCGGGCTTTACCCGGTCTTGGACTTGTGGCTTGGCTGCATCGAGGAATCCTTTGGGAGAAATCGTTGGCTGAGAGTTTGCAGTGCTGAGAGCTGTCCTTCGCGGAAAGCGCGGTCGAACATTCGTGGATCCATGCGCCCCAAAAGGATCAAAGACATGTTTAATTACATATCCCAGACGCCAGACGCTCCATGTGTGGAATATTTACACACATATACTCCGTGGAGAGTCTATATCATTAGGATCCGACAAAATCGAGTGCATACTAAAGTAGTCACAGGGTGGTCTTGGGATATTGGAACCTGCATCACTGATGGGGGCATTACGCTATATATAGATACCAGATTTTGTCCGGCGATCATAGAAAATCAAAAGAGGATTTGTATGAGGGGGCCTACACTGACACATACTCACACACACACAAAGATTTCATGGTCGCACCATTTGACACCTCATTGGTTTCTTCAAATTTCTTCTCCAAACTTTGCCAAAACTCAGGGGCCATCCCGTTTCGCACCAATGCAGCAACCAAAGTCGCTGCAAGTGGGCACCACCTGAGTTTGGTTCAGAATGGAGCCCGCGGGCCTGGGAACAGCTCGCTTTTCGCCCAATTCTATAGGAAAACCATGGAAATGCCGTCTTCAGGTGCATTTTATAAAAGGGTGTTGGGAGCCTTTGCATGCCGAATCTCAGAACAAATCACCCCAAACCCATGTAGGTGAAGCCGTAGGTGAAAGTGGACCACTGTGCCTAAATCAGTGTGAGCATATGGGCATATGGTTGTGCATGAAAGTAGGGAGACCGAACCACAGCCGTTCCGACTGGAAGGTTCGGGAAATAGACCAGTCTAGCCATTGGTTGGGCCGCCCAGTTGGGCCATTGGGGGGTTCTCTCTACGAAAATACATGGCAATACACTATACACCCCCATCTCTTGTTTTCTCTGTAACGCTTCAAGACTTCTCTGCGCTTCCCGGTGCGCCTCCGTTGACTGTTTGCTCCGTCGGTGAAAACGCCCGGACCTCCAACGCACCGACCTCCAGCGCTCGCAACGAACGGACCGGACGACGCGGTCCGTTGATTCTCGTCCGGTCATCCGGGCCCTCCGCGGGGCGAGAACCAAGGTATGGACGCACCATCGAGATCTCGAAGACGGACGCGGAGGAGCTTGAGCGTTGACCACGGGCCGGCGCCGGTTTTGGGGTTGTGAAGATGGTGGGAGGGCGGGGAGGGCGTAGGGAGAAGGTGGAGAGCAGCGGAGGATGAGAAGCGAACACGTGCTTTCAATATAGACTGTTGATCATAACCCTTGATAATAAGCCCATCTTTTTGGACTCTAAACCTATGAGAGTCTACAAAGTATACAATACACTGCACAAAAAGGTTTACTCTTCGGAACCGGAGGCTTTGGAAGGCCACCACTCCCCTAAACAAAAGCCAGGTTCTTCCGGTCAGGGGCCTGTTTAGGCTGTTTGGGAAGATCTTGACCTCTAGAATCTATAGTTATAGAGAGAGCCCAAATAGAAAGCGAAACGATGTCCTGTGTGTTCTCGGGAGTGTTCGCTTTTGTTCAACTTCCTGAGGGCTCTTGGGCATGCTTTCATCGATGAGATAGAGGCTGACGCAGGTAGAATGCTCTCCAGGTTACACAATGTAATAAAGTCGAATTGCAACATGTCAACCTAGAAACTTCAGCCACAACTGGAAGGTTTGCCGAACCGCAGTTTCGGAAATGCATGAACATGCGCCCAGGAGCCAGTGAAATGCTACTAGAGCAATGCGAACAGAGTAAAGGTCACGTGCAATTCTTGGAATTCTCTGTGTGCAGCATGTCAAAAGAAACCACAGTAGACATAGGCCTTCCGAGAAGAACCACTGGTTTGCTCAGTCGTCCACAATATTTCTAGACAGGGGGACTGACTCATTGTGTGCTGTTTTGAATGGCTTCATGTCCTCACACTGCAGCATGCTAAATGAGAACTTGTTTGAGGAATTGCCTAGTCGCACGGTGACCTATCCTGGCAGCAATAGACTGCAGATGAAGATTATCCATTTGAAGGATTTCAATGAATGCCTGCCGAGGCCAATTTGTCATGCAATGCTGATGTGAATTTGAGAAAGATTGAGAAAACCAAGTTGCCACCATCATGTAAGAAATCGCCTATACCTTTGACCTCTACTTCTTGTATGTTTCAATTGGTGACCTACAAAAAAGAAATTTTACAGTGATCATGCGTTAACGGCCCATCAACAAGAACGGCCCAGTCGGTTCCCTTCGATACCTTTTTTGGACCAAACTCTCCTCTCCTGGTTCGGCGCCACGCGCGGCTCTGAAGCGCTGAAGGCTTGCCACACTTCATTCGGTGGATCCCATTCTGCGAACAGAAAAGGATCTGGCCAAAGTATTGCAATTTGATGGTCATATAGCTCAGGAGGTCAGTTGCTGACAGTCTCAGATCTTCATGTGAACGTTCAAAAAAGCTCAGTCAGTTAGATCCATACAACATCATGTTTGTGGAGGTCGGTTTCCGTGTATGGAACAAATGGTTAAGGATCCACCTGGACCGCCAGTCCCAACGCGCCACCCATGCAGTGTCTCCGGCCCATTGCCACGGCACCATCAACATGGTGGGGTGTCTTCCGAACGCGGCGCCTGCGCAACGCCTTTGGCGTCTTCCGAGCCATGTCCTGTTTCACCCGTTTCGGGACCCGAGCCGCCCGCGGCTCGGGCCCTGCCCCCCCCGCCTTTCCAAGCTGCTGACGCACGCATGGCGCACGCGGCCTCGCGCGTGGCGGCCTCGTGCGAGCTGCTCGGAGTGTTTTCGAGGTTTCCCGCTTCTCATGCCACCTGGACGTGGAGCCCGTTGAGCTCGCAGTGTTGGTGTTGGACGTTTCGGATGTGGTGAGCTCGCAACATGGGTGCTCCCTGATGGATGTGTCGTTCCTGTGGGTGGCCAGGGTGGGGCACGAGGACGGTTTCAGTGGCAAAGAGGACCGAAGCACCGGCCTCGGAAGTCTTCAGAAAGGCGTTCGGGCTGCTTTCAGTAGCTAGATAGAAGCTATAGCAGTAACAAGGGCATCGCTAAGACAACGTAACAAGTGCATTACTACCGTATTACCAGCTGCTTCCGTTCGGGGTCACCAATGGATATCTCCACACTACTGACAGGTCTCCATTGGGCCTCCCTTGGAAGTGCTAGGTACTAGTATAGTCACATTCAGTTCTATTAGTTCTATAATGTTCTATACAAGCTTGGCGCTGTTCTGCATACAATAGACAGTCATGAGAAACCACGGCTGGCCTGTTCTGCATGTAGCGACATTCAGGGATTAATATTGACTGATCAGGAAAAATACAAACGTCAAATCTGGGATGCTCGTTCACATGTCTAGGCCTGGGGGGTATTATCAAATCAGGTGTCATATGGGCAAACCGCCAAACCCCCCCCTCATTTAGGAATGGTCGAGAAGTGTATGTGCTCAGCACGGAAGTCGGGAGCCGGGGAAGTTCCAGCGCTTCATTTGGTGGGAGAAGCACTGATTTACATGAGGTTTTTGCGGGGTTCTTCGAGTTTCCCAGTTTGGCTGAACCTGCAAATGAGTTGTCATATAGTCATCCTAGAATTTCTAGAATACATACATCAATCAAAGGGTTGTGTTGACCAAGCAAAAGTGCATCATGGACAAACTCTCACTCTTCCTCAGAACATTTGGGTGTGTATTTTAATAGGGAGGTCTCTCCAACCAATGGGTAGTAAGCTGGTCTATGGTTCTTCTTCCAAGGGGTCGGACTGGGGTCTCCCTGTTTTGAATACACCCATTTGGAAAGCATTTCTACCATCCACTTCGAACCGGGTCCCTACTCGTCCCGCCACGTCCTGCGCCGAACGTCGATCGGAAGAAGTGTCCCGAGAGCCGGATCTGTTGAACGAGGGAAGAACGTCACCTCGAGGCGCTGGCGTCCTTGGGACTTGGAGTCAAAGAATTCGGTTCGAAAACTGTTGGATGACCAGAATAAGCGGTCACCTGACAACGGTGGCTTCAAACCATCGGTTGGGACGGGCAAGTCAGCGGAAGATGGATTTGGGTCCGTCCCATCGATTCTAGGCTTCCAGGACTTGTTCAGGTTTGGGCTAGAGGATGTAGAACTGGCCTGGGGGGTGGTAGATGCCCCACTCTAAATGCGGTAAAACCACCGAATGCAAGTAAGTGCCATGGTAGTAGATTGATGGTTTGAGTAGTGGTTTAAATTGATGTAAATAGGTTTGAGATGGTTTGAGTCCTTCAACCGTTTTCGGACAGAAAGATATGAACATTGTATCCCTCAAGTGTTACTCACCGACCAGATATGGATGGCTTCTCTCATATTTGGGGTTCATGTTGTATGCGATCTAGGACTGGGAGGGTACATATAGAGCAGCACGTACAGCGCAAACACCGGCCACTTTTCAGTTGTTTTGTTTTGTTCACATAAGACGGCCGCTTGCTTCGCCGAGGTCGGATCTTTACGTAAGCCCAACTGGACGGTGCATCGGTAGGTCCATGGACATGGACATGGATGGATGTGGGGTCAAATCTGGTTGAACATGTTTTTGTTACTCCCCCGCAAACTAATATAGAACCTGAGAATTGACCCGTGGTTTCGACCATTTTTCCGAATACCAACACTCAGTGGTTTTGGGGTTCCATGTTAATCTGCAGGCTCTCCCATTGAACGGGAAGCCATCGATTTGCTCTTTTTGTTTGAGCAGATGGTCAACCATTGCAAGCCAACCCGAGCGGCAGATGTCCGTCAATAGTTAACACTGCAATTCCTGCCTTAATCCCTATGGCCATTCCTCGAGGTGAGAGAGACTCCAACAGCCCAATGTGCTGTGGTGCCCGTGGCACCAAAAACGCACACCGGGCCGGCAAGTGCTGCTAGCGGAGGGGGTCCGGCGATGCTGAATGTGGCCAGGTCTCAAAGTCCCTAGTAGCTTCTTGTTACTAGTAGTAAGAATGCTCCCAGTAGCGATGCCCTTTGCTCCTAGTCTTTTGATGTGTCCAGTATTGTCCAGTGTTGATTTTGGAACGAGCTAGGTGATGCCAAAATGTTGAAAGACCTTGCGCAGCTCTCGCCACGTTTACAGCACGCTTTGTGGGACCGTGCCCCGCAAAGATGACGCAAGTTGATTGCTTTCCACAGACCAAAATGCAGGAATTGGAAAAGGGTACCTGCTTCTGCACATCCTGACATATGACTATGCATGAGTAATCATATAACAGCCCTGCAGGCGCCAAAGATTTCTTTGTTCGTTCTTCCTTGGAACATTTGGTGTGTCCAAGGAAGCCAGGCTTTTCTGTTGTTGAATTCTTTCACCGTTCTTCACGCAAATTCCCGAAAGGTGCTGAGTAGCGTCCTTGTTACTAGTAGTAAGGCCAGGAGTCCCTAGTAGCATCCTTGCTGCTAGTAGCGATGCCAGGAGCCCCTAGTAGCGTCCTCACAGGTTGATGTCATTCCTTTCTAAGCCAATATCGGTGAACATTGGTGAGAATAGGAGTATCATTGATATGATCATTGATACACCGCGAACGCAGGGCGTAGACCACAAGGGGTTCGAAGTAAACCCAATGGTATACCTTCAACTCTGGCATAGAAGTATGGGAAGTGGCATGCGCGTGTTCGTTCTTGAGCTGCTGAAAGCCATTGACATGTGAAACCAAAGTTTCTGATTGCCCAAAGATGCGTTCAATCAATGACGATTCGATACTACGACCTTTTTGATTGATGATGATACATGCAGGCACAACTTGATTTCCCTAGAGGTCAGCTCGTGAACAATTCAAGGAGCTGGGGTGTAAAATTGTGAGTGTCAAGCTGACCCCGCCGTGCAACTCGAACAGCTTTTGCTCCAGCACCACTCCGCTTCCCTTTCTGGAGGCAGCTCAAAACCTGTCGAAGCATGTTGTCCTGCACTGCATAATTGTTGGAAGTTGTATTCCATGGGTTCTTTACAGTAAAGGATGGGGTAGGAAGTCACCGGATCCAAAGATTTCTGGATTTGGCCGGTGGCAACCACCTCATGGGTCAACAAAAAGAGACGAAAAGCCTGGATAGGCCATTTAGGCAGTTTGCGACTTCCTGAGGTTTCCTGAGTTCCAGGATAGTTCCCGGCTATGTTCTAGATGTTCTAGCTCCAATTCAGAGGAAGCGACGGCTCGGGAGTGACTCGGGGGTACATTTTTGCTAGGTTTCCCACCCAAACCATATTAATAGTGTTCGTAGGACTAATTTACGTGAACCAACACTTAGGGATGACCACCTCAAATGAACAGATTCCAATTCCTTAAATGTCTCCATGATCCCTCCCCCCACCCCAAGCAAAAGGGTCGCTTGGAGGGCGGGTAAAGTCGGAGCGTGGGTCTGGTGTGTTGGGTGGAAGAGGTGTGTTGACCTCGCCATGTTCTCCTTGCTCTGGGGGATTGGATCAGGTGTGCAGGGCAGGAGAGGTATTTGTTGTCGATCGCGAAGCGGGGATCCCCACCAGATGCCACCAACCATCACCAACCCTTTTGCACATCAATGACTGTTTTAGACGCTTTTGCATCCCCAATCGTTGTTGTTGTCACCATTTCAACCAGAATCCAGCAGGAGGATACATGGCTGCGGCCATGGCTATAAGTTAAAACATGTTAAAACCTTTTGACTCAGCCATGGGAGGTTGGCATCCCTTATAAGGGATAGAGAGAGAGAGAGAGAGAGATTTGTTCATTTGATCCGGGGTCAACCATGGTAGCCCAGGTCTTGGCCCCACAGCCACAAGGGAGATCGGGTTCAACTGCAGGTCTACGTCGTAGATCTGGCTGTTCCTGGTTAAGTTAGACGGAGACCCGCCCTTGCTTTGCACATGCAGGGGCACGTCAACGGCCGCGAATCGCCGCGAACTCTAAGAGTTGATGCAGGCGCCAGGGCTCCGCCAGCCATTCACCGTGTCGCTTTAACGCAATTTGGCTTGGCAGAAATACATGCAGGTGATATCATAGTTGCATGAAAGCATCTTATATATAGATGTGAACAATAAACGTTTGGGCTAAATATGGCTCAATGCAAGGTTGCTTGAACATCTGAACATTGCAGAACCATGGCTGGAGTCAGGGTGTGTGTGTTTGGAGACACCTTGGACACCTTGGCAGGAACGATCCCGTTCGCCGTTCCGAGGCCGGGCTGGCCGGTGTGGGGGTGGGAGCCAAAGCAACTTGATGATGGAGCATGATGGAGCCCAGCTTGCTTGCTTCTTGTAGACAGACGACTGGAAGTCGCAGTGGATGGTAGTAGAGGCAAATCATGGATTTTCCCCATGGAAAAGACGGGATCCATGCAACATGGTGGGCCATGAAGGGGGTTCTTGTGCAAAAAGTGGCAAGAAATTTCTATAGAAACGGTTGGGCAGGTGTCCGGTGTCATTGGTCTTGGAGCCACGAAAGCTGCAGCAAGTCCGGTGGATGGGGGCAACAGACTTAATTACCAAAAGCCGCCAAAAGCTTTCAGTCGGAAGCTCCAAATGCAACTAGATCACCCATCAGGCCTATCAGTGATGTGCAGGGTGACTTTCAAGCTGGGTGCAACTGTTGCGTTCCCCTTGATTAGGCAAGCTCGAAGATTCTTGGGCGATACTTTACATGGCTTCACATTGCTCCACGAGATTGGTAGACCAATGACTCCAGATGAGCCTGCTTGAGCATCCCCCTGCCCACTTCCAATCCCCACACCACATGTTTTCCACCCAATCCATCCCAATCCCACCCCATTTTCCCCCGAGATCTGCTCCAAGTTCTTCCACCTCATCCCAATCCCATCCCAGCACCGGCAGAGCTCACGGTGAAGCCCTTGAACGCCGACTTCGGCGCGCTGGTGACCTCCGAGCTCTCCGCCGAGAGGCGCGCTTCCGTGCGCCATGGGGACGGTCCGGGGCCCGGACGGGACGGGGACGGTCCAGGACGGTTGCCCAGGCTCCTGGGGAACCCGCACTATGCGCAGCAGCTCTTCCACGCTTGGCAGGACGGGCTCCGCGAGCCGCGAGCGAGGTGAGCGAGCGAAGTGTCGGAGGTATCGGACGCTCCGAGCACGGAGAGCGCGCAGGAGCACGGCGGGCTGCTGGTGATGCGGAACCTGGACTTGACGCCACAGCAGATGGTGGCCATCAGCGCCTTCTTCGGGGAGGCCACAAAAGACGAGATGGCCGTGTACGCGTGTAGCAGCTGTGTAGCAGCTGTAAGTAGGGAGACCCCAATTGACCCGCTTGGGTCATGCTGTTTGCCTTTTTTAAACCTATACCGTTTACGGACAAAACGACGTCTTGTTGGTGTTTCTGTGTGTTTCTGCTTCAGGTTGAAGATGAGCTGGACGAAAGCAAACAAATGCTTCTGGGCTGAGAGACGGGGCCCTTGCGTTTGGGCCTTGGGCCTTGGATGGTCGAGTCATTCACGCACATCAGCTCAAGGAGGGGTCTAGTTGTTTGAAAGGGATTTGGTGTTCCAAGATGTTCCAAGGGAGCTTGAACATTAAATCAAATATATATAGTTATACAATGTTATACATGAAGATAATATATAATATATAAGTCTGTATATAGTAAGAGCTTGTTATTTTGATGTGAGGCCAGCGATTGGAAGCATTCCTTGGAAACCACATGAGTACTCATGTTTAACGTTTGGAACCTATGGAGACTAATGTTTGCGTGTGAGACCTGGTCAACATCCGGGAGATCAGTCGACCTAAAGGGTTCTTTAAAATTCCTATGGCTTTGGCCACACATGGTCACCAGATTGGCTTCCGTGAAGCATTGTTTTGCCGAACCAAGGGAACAACACAAGAAAACACGTCTTGCCCACACTGTAATCCTGAGCGCCTGACAATGGTTTTTGCTAGTTGGCGACATACAGTGCTTCTCCGAAGTGATGGCTGCGCAGTTGCCTGCGGACGCAATGACGAAGGACAATGCAATATTCCACCTTTGGAGGAAGGATGTCCTACACCCAGGTTTCTGCAGGAGGGTCTCATACAGTGCTTCTTCGAAGCGATGGAAGCGCTATTACTTGCGGACAAAACTTTGCAGGACAATGCAACATTCCACCTTTGGAAGAGGGAGTGTCCTACAGACAGGTTTCTGCAGGATGGTATCACACGGTGCTTCTTCGAAGTGATGGAAGCGTTGTTGAATACGGAAACAACACTTTTACACAATGCAATATCCCACCTTTGAGTGGCGAATGTCTTACGTCCAGCTTTCTGCGGGGTACTATCATACAGTGCTTCTGCGAAGTGATGGCAGCGCTGTTGCTTGTGGAGTCAACAATTCCGGACAATGTAGCATTCCTGCTTTGGACGAGGGAGTGTCCTACATCCACATTTCTCCCAACGAACTCATACAGTGCTTCTCCGAAGCGATGGCAGCGCAGTTGCCTGCGGACGGAATGATGTTGGACAATGCAATATACCAGGCTTGGATGAGGGAATGGCCTACACCCACATTTCTCAAGAATGGTTTCATACTCCGAAGTGATGGCTGTGCAGTCTCTTGTGGAAGGAATGATGAAGGACAATGCAACATTCCACCTTTGGAGGAAGGAATGTGCTACACCCAAGTTTCTGCAGAAGGGTATCACACAGTGCTTCTTCGAAGTGATGGTAGTGCTGTGGCTTGCGGAGGAAATGAATATCGACAATGCAACATTCCGTCTTTGAGGTCTTGGCGGGAGCTCTTAACTTTTGCAACAGCCAGACGTCACTATGTTTGTGATCTCATTCCACTTGACAAAGACTACGTTGTGCAAACGGGTGTTGCTCTTGACGATGACGCAGCCATGCTGACATGCTGGGATTTGGCAGGGCATGAGGTGCTGTACATGAGGGCAAAAGGGTTTGACCTCGCTGTGGAGACCTCGCTGTCGCGCATGGCACGTGACTTGAAGGTTAGCCTCCAACGTCTTCTCTCGTGGTCTTGCCTGATGGACAGTTGTTGGCCTCAATTTGTAGGGCACATCCATCGGCACCATCCATCGGCAAGTTGGGCGAAGCGCCGGTGATCTTGGGACAGTCCAACGGTCGGAGACCGAGGATCTTGGGACTTCACAGGGATCTTGGCTGATCTTGGGACTTGGATTCAAGAAGGTTCAAACTGAAGACTTCCGGAGTTTTCAGGATCATCTGGACATACCTGGACCATCCGCTTCGGGTCTCCAATAGGCTACCCTAAGCCAGTGATGATGACTGTGGGCGCAAAAATTGGGCGCCCAATGGCCCTGATATGTCCTGATACAGTTCACCGTCCAGTGGGCTGACTTAGTTGGTCCACCAAAACACAATTCATCCAATGGGGCTCATACATTGGATGGTCCACCAAGATGCGAAAGGAAAGTTCTTGAGATCCAGGTGGATCCCCCTGCACCCCATTCCGAAGAAGCGTGGGTCCTCCGTGTGATTCCTCCCGTCTCCCGTAGCCTCCCGTCCTCCTTCGCTGGGCCTGGACCGAAGCTGAGCGCCCCGAGGTTTGCTGTCGGGGGCGAGAGCCGAGCTGGGCCGCCGATGCGGGAACGGGCAGGGAAGGGCTCCATGGATCACCGGCGGTCGCTTTTGGGAAATACATATCAGACATGACGACTGCACTCCATGCAGGGCATATGTGCCAAAAAAGATTGACCCCAAGTCAATCACCCAAATGTATAGGAAACATGTCACACATGGAGTGTTTGGGATATGCTGTTTGTTGGCTCGTGACTTGAGTCAAAAGACTACTTGCGTATTACTTAGATATATACACTAGCTAGATAGCTGCTCTCCGCCGATTCTTCCAAGTCCGGAGGGATTAATATCTCCTGGTAGGGCGTTTGTGTGTTCAGCTCGCGATACGGTCCACGGCGACCGGCGAGAAGCGCACGGTCCGCAACTGCTGAAGCGCTGCGACGGCTGCGAACGGCTGCGTTCGTCCGACCAACGGGGGATATAGCCCTGCTGATCGCTGGGTGACCGATATTTGATATTGAAACATATGGAACACACCGATGTTCCGCTTTGTTCTATGGAACATGGTGCTTGAATGTGCTTGAGATAAGGTATATAGTGATGGGGGAAGGCTTTGTTTCCCCTTCGCAATAGACATGGTGACGAAATTGCTGCTGTTATCTTTTTGTTGCTCAATGGAGGACAGTTGAAGAGTCCACTCAAGAAAAGAGGGTGTGCCCTCTTGTTTTGACACCCGCGGGTGACTTCTGGAAATATGTCCATCTCATGTTGGACTCTTCATGCCAAAGTTCAGGGCGCAGAACGGCGTTCTGATAAAGACAGTCTTTTTTTCCAGTTTCAGGTTTGGTGTATTCGGTTCAATAGCTTTCCATTGTATGATTGCCCAGATCTCGAGATCTACAATTAGCAATTGAGAAATGGCCGGCGGCACGTTCTCAAACTTTACCAGAAAGAACACCTCTTTTACAACTCCAGTGCACGGTTGCTTCGGCAAGACCAATTCATCCGCATCACGTGCCGTTGACCTCCGTTGACCTTCCGACAAATTCAGCCACTGACCTTCGCCGCTGCACAGACTCTAGGTGATGCGGATCGGCAACACGCGCGATCCAAGCAGCGGAGAAATCACCGCGCTGAACGCCAGCGACCCGCCTCTGCCTCCAGGTTCTGAGCAGCGGGGGCGGAAGGGGGGGCGGGCGGAGCAGCGGGTGGAAGGGTCGGGGAAGGGGTCGGGGAACGTGGGGATGTTGACCCCGGTGATGTTCACCCAGCCAGAGCTAGGTCGACATATACATAGGGATGTTGAGTGATTTTCATGGCGAAAGGCCGGGTGATGTCGCATGAAGAGGAAAGACAGGAAAGAATCAACGTGGGCTGAAAGACTTTGAGTTTGCAGAACTTGGCATAAGTGAATTGTCAAACAATTCAGATCCTGTGTTGGGTCAGGAGCCTTCTAATCCTTCCAGTGCCATCATTTGATTAATTATAATTAATCAATCTGATTTCAGGGTGGAAGAATGTTGTAAAGTTGTAGACTTGTCTCTACATCCAACTCGGTCCTTTTGATGTCTTTTGTCTATACTCTATACCATAGGTTTTTCATGGTTTTACTCAATACCATATAGAACGTGTGATGTAGAACGCCTCCCAGCTCTTCCCAGCCAGCTCGCCACCGACTCACCCCGTACTCGCCCCGTACAGGAGGCTCCCCGCAGTACCGCCCGGCCGACCGGAAGCCTGCGTGGCATACGGCCACTTGGCCTGACCGGGTCCACAGGGTAGGGTGGAGAGGGAGGTGTTTTGGGTGGGTTTTCCTTTCGAAAAGGACTGATGCTTTGTTTCTGCAGTGCTGTTTTCAGAAACCTGCAGCACTGCTGCACTTGACAATGCCAGTGACACATTTGATACTGCGTTTCAGAAAAAAAATCGATGTACTGCATGCAGTAGGCTCATCCCACGGTTCGGGTAACCACGGTAACCACGGCACGCGTTCTACCCGAGACGGTCATCGCATCGGCGGGCTCCGAAGCGGCGCGGCGGGTCCCGAGGATTCGGTGTACCGGAAGGATCCGCCCATTGGCTCGTTGCTGTACTGCAAGCTCGGGACGCCCAACGGGAGCGCGGAGGACACAGGACCCCGAGGTTTGGCAGCGAGCTACAACGGCAGCTTCGGTGCAAGAGTAGGGGGGAGAAGAATTCTTCTTCTTCTTCTTCTTCAACAATAGGTTTGGTCTTTTTGGGAGATGTGTTTGTTCTCCTTTGGGCAGATCATGGTTGCTCTCTCAAATGCGTAGCCTTGGATTTCCACCGGAACAGCTTGCGAAAGTCAAGTTGCCAAAATGAGTCTTGACACACGTGGCCCCAAACTTGGCGACAGGTGTGGTCAGAAGTGGAGTTTGGGAGACAGCCTCTGTGGACCTTTGCCCCTGGTCTACCTTGGGTAAGATCTTGGGCATTAGACTATTCTGGACTTGCTCAATTGTGATATTTGGGAGTGACATGAAATGACATGGTGACATGGAGTGACTCGGTACGTCAGGCATGTGATGTGTTCTTAGTCCTGTAAAGCACCATTTAAGGTATCAGTGAAGTTTACTTGAGACTGGCCGGCCGTGACTGGTGGGCCGCAGGCAGGCCCTCGATGCGACCCAAATAAGGCTCAAGATGGCCCAAGCAAGGCTCCCAGACCTCCCAGTCAGACATCAAAGACACCCAAAGCCCAAAGACCTCCTGGAAGAAAGGAAATATCGCACTGCTTGAAGCTCCTCTGACCAGTCTACCTATTGGTTGGAGTTCTGATATTAAAATACCTTGCATACTGCATCCCTACTGTATCCATTTGGTCACCAAACACCTTTGGACACTCAAGCTTTTGAATGAACCTTCAATTTTCCTTGGGAATGGTATGGACGGCGATCGTTGTGACCCTCGCAATTACGCAGCTCATCGCAGCTGTGTATGTTGCCGGATATTCTTTTGTTAAGCTGTTGTCTCTTTTTGTGTCTCATTGTAAGAACCAGGTGTGTCATCACCACGTGTGCTATCCTCTCCACGAAGCATCAAAACCGTCCCTCCGCCCAAGGCAGACGCCGCCCGAGGGGGGCGCGACCTGCTTTGCCAACGCGGCTGCGGCCTATGAGGCTTTGGACGCTGAAAAGAAGGAGAGGCTAAGGACATTGGAGTTAGGGGACCCAGCATGATCCAGCATCAGAGACGGGGAAGAGCTTGGGGTGACTGGGTACGGAGAGAACCATGAGAACGTCAAACAGTTAAGCGTGTGGGAAACACAGTTGTCACCTTGCGACCTGTGCTAACTCGAGCATAAACGAAGTATATCGAAGTATGAAACATTATGCAGACATTTGATTTGTTGGTCAAGCACCCCGAAGACATTTGATTTGTTGGTCAAGCACCTCTATGCGGGGTTTATCCGGGTTCAATTCCATTTTGAAAAGCACCCATTCTGGCTTCGGCTGGTTCGCCTTTGTTGGCCTAATGCTCAATCTGTCCATTCGCTCCATGTGACCGCAGAGCTCGATGTGAATTCCACACTGCTGCAGGTGTGACCAAGGTTGGTACATCCCTGGCGCATCCCTGTACTAATGTTGACTGTTCATTCGTGAAAACCTCCATATTATGGGGATGTTAGACCACTGAGGTAGGATATGTCTTTGTATACGCAACATTTATCAACAATCAACAGGGTAGAGCTGTCACTGGCAACTCGAGACAGCCTGGCACTGTATAGATCAAAAGAGACAAGATAGTGGCATGTGACATCATGTGACAAATGGCCTGGGCACACTGCTTGGCGTCCCAGGAGGGCTCCGGAGCTCGAACAGGGAACATGGTGGGTCAGTTCCCCACTTGGTGAGGCCCTGAAGAGGCTTGGTGGCCCCCGCGCTCAGGTGCCTTTGTTCTCAAGCTCATCATGATGCCAAGGCATGTTGATGTGGTGCCGTTTGTTTGGCTCTTCGTTGTTATGAAACGGCTGGAGTCCGTTTTGTCCGGCCCTACTAAGTCATGGCAGTCATGGCGACGATGTCGTATTTTTTGGCAGTCATGCAATGAGTCAGGCCACAGCTCAGTTGCAACACTAAGTCATCATTTCACCCGGCAAGAGACCATGTTCCGCCCACATCTTCAGAGCCATGATTTGGACACGTGAAGAGTTGCACCACTGGACGAGTGGGCTTTATTGGGACAACCCCAGACTCCCAGACTTTTGGGGATTTGCTTCTGGGTGGCACAAGTTCAGTCGCGCACAGTTCAGTCAACCCCCTTCCGCCTTCTGCTTCCGCAGATCAATCGTAGCTCTCCAGACTTCCCAGTGCTCACGCCCGCGCAGCGGGCCGCCAGCCCTGCGCAGCGGGTGGCGTCCGGGGGGCCCAGTCGGGGGGGGGTTCCGGCGCGGTGACGGTCGCGCGGAGGTTCCGCTGGCCGTGGTGGGGGACGTCGTTGCGGCGCAAGGCGGCGCAACCAAGAAATAGCTTCTAATTTTCTTGGAGCAGCCATGAGAAACCTGCAAGCTCATGGTTGGCCATACACTCTGAAATCGGTCCCAGGCTCGTTTGGCAATGGCCACCACCCAGCCCATTGGCCAGCTGCCCCAAACGAATCCGAAGCGGACTTCTGCTTTTTGAAGGACTTCCTCGAGAATGGGCCCCAACCAATCGCAGCTCCAAGAGCCATAAGGATTTAGAAGCCTGGGTCTTCCCAATTGCTTCGTTGCATGCTCATCATACCCGACCTGTCACCCTCCCCTTCGCTCATTCCTCTCACTGCTCCCAGCGGTGCGGGAAGCGACGGTACCGATGGCAGGATGGTCTTGCAGCATCCGCTCAATCAACGCTTGGCGCTCTATGGCATGAACGGTGGCACCTGCAAGGTCTTGCCCCGCGAGGCGAGGCAGAGAGAGAGAGAGAGACAGAGAGAGAGGGCGATTCTTGTGCAACGGGTGTCTTTTCAGGGTGGAGTGAGTTCAGTTAGGGATTGAAGGTGATTGAAGCGTCGAAGCATGTCGAAGTCTACGATCAATCAAATTGGCTTACGCCAGTGCTTGGCATTTAACTGTGGAAGAGGGCAAGAGGGCATGTGCGTTGCATCCATTCGCAGCCCTTTGATCAACACTTGGAGGAAAAAGAAGCGTGACAAACCACTGCAGGTCACAAACGGGTTGTGGCGAGTCCTAGGCAGCTCCGGGGCTTGTTTCGAGGAGGGTATTGACAATGTAGTTGAGAGCGATGCCAAAATTGCTTCGGAGGGGTGTTGTGAGCACACGGTTCATGACCACTGAAAGATCTAACCATGCACTTTCCCACTCAATTTCAACAAAGACTGTGTTGCCGGGCACTTGCCAAGGGCAACCCACGTGACCACCTACCCAAATTTCTTGGGCGTATGAAATTTGGAAAAATTCAACTGACGTCATACTCCCTGACCCTCTCCGTCGCATAGGGGCAGGGCAGAGTTTGAAGCTGTCGCCAGGGCAGCTCTCCGTCTCGATTCAACTAAGAGGATGATTGCAAGTGGACGGTGCCAGCTATGGTCGTGCATACGCTTTGACGACGGTGTTTGATGGAGTGTAAGGGGTGTCCACGTGCCAGCTATAAAGAGATATAAAGAGTCTCTTGGCCTTTGCTGAAACCGAGGCCAAGGCGCTAAGAACCTCAGGTTCGGAGGGAAGCCGAAGAATCCAGAAGGCTTCATGCATGGGACAGCAAGAGGGCAGAGAACGACCAGCAGCAAAAGAACCAGATGCTACAACTGTGGAACACTTGTCGCCTGTCTCCCCACGCACCTGTCGGGTGAAGGATAAGGAGATGGACAGTACGGGTGGAAGAAGAACGCGCCCGTGCGCCCCTCTGTCAAAATGTGCGGAGCCGGAAGCAGAAGGGGCTCCAAGCCCCTTGAAAGCCTTCCAGGATTGGAATTCAATGTTCATCAAAGCGAGGCTGTGCAAATGTACCAAGTGGTTGTGCCTGTTGAGCGTTTTCTCTCGCCCGTTTCGCCACAATATATATTAAGTATACATCAGATGACCCGGATTCACCAGCTTTCCAACCAAAACATCCACCCAGATCCACCGCACCGCTGTCTGGCCCTACGTTCGACGCCTTCGCCTCGGTCGTGAGGCGAAGATCACAGCTGAAGAGCTGGAGCGCTTTGAGTTGGAGGCGGTGGAGCACCAGTCGGTGGAGGCTCTCGCCTAGCGCTCCGAGCGCTCCGAGCGCTCCGAGATGTGTCGAGTGTCGTAACCAGTTGGTGTCTTAAGATTACGGTCCATGACCATTCGACCAATTTATGAATGAGGTGGGAACCAGGGGGTCCTTATTGAGCCTGTTTGCCCGAGATCTGATACGCTGGCCGCGCTAGCTTTTGCACACTTGATGAAGAGAGACGGTGGCCAGCAGAGGCTGGATTCATTAGTTGGCGGTGCGAGTTGGACGAGCACAAAAGACTGAAGCAAAAACGGACTATGCAGATGTTCCAAGCAACTAGTATGTGCCATGAACCAGAGCACACATAGCCCGATGGACACAAGAGTCTGTCCCTCACGGGGATACTAAGAGATGCTTAGTTCCTTTCGTATCGAGGTGTTTGGAACCCCCCGAGGAGTAATCTACAGAGCAGATAGTCAGAACACTCAAGGGAGCGTCCTAGTAGTAAGGCCAGGAGCCCCTAGTAGCGTTCTTGCTCCTATAGTAGTAAGGCCAGGAGCCCTTAGTAGCGTCCTTGCTCCTATAGTAGTAAGGCCAGGAGCCCCTAGTAGCGTCCTTGCTCCTATAGCAGTAAGGCCAGGAACACTCAAGAATTGTCAACTTTGTACACCCTTGGCACCTTCTTCAGGTTCCCGCCTCCTAGACGGGTCCAGTCATGCCCCATCCCTTGCACTGGCAACAGAAGGTTGAGTTGGCCAAAAAAATAGACATCATGACTTATCCATATACCCAGGATATCCGGGCATCATGACATCAGATTTATTTTAACCAAATATATATAGTAATATTTAATATGTCCACATATGTCACTCTGGAGTCAAGTGTATCAAACAGGCTTTGGCCTTCCACAAAAAAGGTCGCCTGTGCACTCGTCGCCCATGCCCCCACGTCTTGCGTTGTTCGCCTTCATCGAGGAACCATGCGCCACACAACGCAACCATACGCAACCATTCCCCCCATGCAACTCCGCACCTCGAAGCAATGGAACTCCGGGTCCTTCTCCCGCTCGAGGCGAATGATTAGCCGGGCTTTTGAGTGGGCGAATGGTTTTGCACGCATGTCTTTAGTGTTTGTTCCTTCAAAGCGCGCTTTCGTTTTTGAGGAGGAGTGGCGTTCCTTGCTGCCCTTCGTGACCTCCCCCAAGTTCACAGTGAAATGGGCCACTCGGCTGTGTTTGGCAAACTCGCGTGTGGTGAAAGCAATGCTTTCCAGTGGTTTTGCTAGCGCGAGCATGTGCCGAGGCCCTGTTTTGTTTTGGTGTTCAAGTCGTTTGTTTTCATCCGCCACCTCCTGCATCCAGCATGGTGCGCAACAAGGAAAGAACATGTAAACAACACACATAAAACAAAGAAGTCTAAGGGTTCAGTGATCAAGACAATCTCCTAGAACATGTTTGCAAACCTTTGTTTCGTTCTGGTTCCCATCGGCGTCCCCGAGGGAACCGCAGCGCTGGTCGTCACTTCTTCCGTCCGTGGGGATGCCGTGGGGATCATATAGTCTGATCTTGCTTAGGCTAATGTTCCCTCTGGGTGAATGCCCTTGTGGGGAATATGTTCTGTTCCGGGCGCCTGTTTGCAATATCTCCAGACCTGGAGATGTTTTGTTTAAATGGTTTACTTACCAATCGAATAGGAGAGGGTTGTGGAGGTATTAAATTTCGTGAGGACATGGTCTTTGGGGTGCATATGTGTTCAAACCCTACTTTGGGTGCGTGGCCACTCCACAAGTGTTCAAATGTATGCTTTGAAAACTAAAGTGACTTGAAAACACATATGTGGGTTCCCCAGTCGAATGCCTGAAACATGTCACTAAAAGTAGCCAAAATATGGTATGCAAGGTCCCTCATTCGTCCAGCATCGACGCGCACAATGAATGACTCCAACATTTTTCCAGATCTCGTGAACGGTCTGCTCATTCGGTCATTGAGCCTACTTCTCTGACTCTGCCAGTTGCACCGAATCCCCTTTGTGCGGCAGAACATGGCAAGAATACACATTGCATCTTGCACACAACAAACCAGGTGATTTCACCTGTGGCTGTGACCCACAAAATCCAAGAAGATCATGGACCATTTCATTTCCTGGTCCTCTTCTTGCTTTCCCCTGCATCAGCATTGCCCGAGCGCTTTTTGGAGGAAGAGGATTTCCCAGTCTCAGTAGTGCCTTCTCCATCCCCCTTCACACGGCGCTTCTTGGCCCCATCATCCTGGGGACACAAACGAGGGGTGGGGGAGGTGGAGGAGGATCTTAAGAGAAGGCGAGAAAGATTCAGAAAGTAGTCGAAGACGCAGCCAGGCCAGTCAAAGTTGGAATTCATCCAGCTATATCAATATCCTAGACTAGACCCAAACAAACCCTACTAGTGGTCCAACCTGGTTTAATGAAGTCCAAAGTCAAAAACAACACTAACTGCAGTAAAGTACAATCAGTGTCAGTGTCAGTGTCCTGTGATTTTGGTGTAGACGTCGGCGCGAAAAAGACGTTCAAACTCTGGGTGTTCTTGGGATCAAGCTTGCCGCCTTGCCTTTGCTTCTTGCCCTGCGCTGGCCGCTTCGGAGCATCCTTTGCTTTCTCAGCGGCTGCATCCTCAACAGCATCAGGGTCAACTTCCGAATCCGGTTCCATGTTTTCAGGAACCTTTGACACGTCCATGTCCGTGGGATGACTCTCAGGCTGCTCAGGCATCTTTGTCTCGATGGTCTCCGCAATCTCGGCAGCACGCTCAGCAACTTCTTGTGGCTCAGCCGGCGCAGCCTGAACTGCAGGTTGCACCTTGGGCACATCAGGTGTCTCCTCAGGCATCTTGGCCTCAAGGAGTGCTTCCTTGTTGGTCACCTCGGCCGTGGCCGTGGGCTTGGTCTCAACTTCGTTTGATCCAGGACCGTTGTTCCCCACAGCCTCAGACGTGGTCTCCTCAACTTCTGGCTTGTCAGTCTGTTCCTCCGGTTTCTCACCAGAGACAATCTCATTCGAATCCAAAACACCCCCAGCGGCTTGAGGGGCAGTCTGGGTCTCTGGAAGAGTCGCCGCTACAGCGTTTGATCCATCCTTTGACTCCTGTTGCTCCACAGCGGCTGGTGCATCTGCAGGTGCAAGGCCCTGACCAGGCTCATGCTCCACAGCGGCTGGTGCATCTGCAGGGCCGGCTGGTGCATCTGCAAGGCCCTGACCAGGCTCAGGCTCCACAGCGGCTGGTGCATCTGC